TAGTATTTTCTGCCACTGCATCTGTTTTGTGTTATACTAGTTTGCTTATTATTCATTTGTACTATCATGGAGAGTTTTTTTCTGCATCCCTGGTCTTTAAGCCTTATAATTTTATCTAAAATATGATAGGGCTTAGAAAGTAGTTGGCAAATAAGTAGATTAAGTCGTTGAAGTCAAGTGTAGCATGTTTATTGCACAATTGTTTACTTCCTTCATTTCTTTTTTTCTTTTTCTCCCGTCAGGGTCTCTCTGTGTAACCTTGGTTGTCCTGGAACTCAGGAGCTGGCCTCTAATTTACGGAGCTCCACCTACCTCTGCCTCCTGAGTGCTGGGATTAAAGGTGTGAGCTGGCACCACCACCCCACTCATGGTTTTCAAGAGGAATGCACCCTATGCTTTCCCAGTGGCCACCAAAGGGAACAGGGAGACAAGTGGATCTCATGAGTAGATAGTTGAGGGAAATTCAACTCAGCAGAGGTTTATCACAAGCTTTGTCTCCATCATGTTGCTTCTGACCTGGAGGAGTTAATGAGGGAAGGCATAGAGAGTATAAACCATGATGCTAAGTAGACTAACTTTTAGGCACAAACAACATGTAAAAACTTGTGGAGTGGACCTAGAAAGGAAGGAGAGAAGAACGGCAGGTTACCAGGGAAACATCCACAGAACAGGGATGGCATTTGAGATGTGTCTGAGTCAGATGAGGGGACTATCCTGGAGACAGAGTGGAGTGAAGGGCTCAGTATGGAAGTACAAAACTAGACTAGCGTGTGTCTAGTCAGCAAAGAAGGTGGCATGGTAATTGCATTACAAATAAATGAACACTTTTAGCAAGATGTGAATACAGGCAGATGGCTGCGAACTTGTTTGGGAGAGAACAGTGATGCTCTGGTGAAGAATTTGGCTACTTCCCGGTAACTAGCCCATTGCATTCTTGAGCTGCGTCATAAAATTGACTTGGTAGCATAGTAATACTTGGCCTTCAACATTGAAGAGCACAGCAACTCTGAGCCTAGCTGGGAAACTACTTTTCAGAAGGTAATCTCCAGATGACATTGACCTTTCTTCCAGGAGACATTCTGCACCCACAATTTATTTTATGTTCATTCATCGTTAGTTTACAGTTGTAGATTCAACATCGTCCCTCTTTAGTGCAAGGAAAGACATCAGTGAGGGACACAATAAGAGGTGGATCTGAGGAAATACGTGACAAGGAAGCTTAACCAATCCAGAGTCAGAAAACCTCTCTCGGAGGAAGTCACGTTGACATCTTTGAACAATAGCAGCTGGCCAGAAAGGCGAGAAAACTACCCCAAGAAGTAAGTAAGCAGGTGCAAGTCATCTGGGTTGGAAGCACTTTGTCTTTCAGATTTTGGGGTAAACGCTAGGCTTTGGTACCCCCCAGGGTACCTGCTGCATGATGAATACAAATAAATCTTAACGTAATGAACAGCTCAAAGCATGAGTCAAGGTAAATGTGATTAGCCACTTAACATGAAGAATCCTCTTCCTTGAGTCTTGTGTGGGTTGTATTTAACCGTAACCTGGAAGAGAGGTCAAGTGCATCAGCCAGCTTACCATTGTGATAAAGAAATACCTGTGACAGCTTAAGGAGGAAAGGGTTGTCTTGACTTACCGACTTAGAGATGCCAGTCCAAGATCAGATGGCATCATTGCCTTGAGCATCTGGTAAGAATGGCATACTCCAGGCTTTGTGGGACTATATGGCAGAACAAATCTGCTTATACCTTGAGCCAGAAAGCAAAACAAGGAAGATAAAGAGGCTTGTTTACACAGTTCCTTTGGGGGCAGACCCACAAAAGCCTTAAGACCTCCCCCAGATCACCACTCCCCAGGAGCACCACCTTGAGGATCAGATTTTTAACACATGGGGTTTTGGGGGAACACTCACCATTCAAATTATAGTATCACCCTTGTTCTTGGATATGACTTGGTATATTCGTTAGCTATAATATCAATTGTCACCCAGGTTCTTCTGCAAAGTCTTTTTCCTTACTGGAGTCAGAGATTCAGAAGGTATCAGAGTGGAGAGGTGTGTGGCAATCAGGTCTTCCAATCCTCATTATACTGAAATCTAAAACGACTCAGTATCTTGTCTGTGTTTGGAAAACGGTTCATGCAAAAAATGCCGGGGCAGGAATAGGGGCGTGAGGTAGTTTTCAAAGCCTGCATAATAATTCCTCAATTCTCCAAAGGCAGGGAAATAACTCTGTAAGGTGGAGGCTGGAGTGTTGGTGGTAAATGTTAAAACAACAACAAATTCTGGATTTGGGCCTGAAAGCAAGGGAAATAAGCAGTGACTGTTTATTCAGATAGGCCCTTTCCGGCTCCGTGGAATAACAGAAAGCCCACGTGAGTCTAGCTGACTTCAGAGAGCTGTAAAGACTTTGCAGAGGAATTTTCATTAGTCTTGACTTTTTCTCCAAGGCCCAAGTGACTGCCTGCAGTGACTTCACTTGCGAGTGGCCCCTGCGGCCAGCCCTTCACCGTGCACCACACTCTCTCTGCCTGTGCTGGCTGATCTCAGAAGTCCGGTTTGGTTCAAAGTTGTAAAGACCTTTCCATTCATTTTCTTCTAGACTGTTTGATTTTACATATAGGTTGATGGTCTATCTTGAGGTGATCCCCGTTCAGCATATGGACTGGACTGGAGTGGTTTTTAGTCTCTCCCCCTCCCTGCGCCCCAGATATACGTCCATTCATTGAAAGCCTCTCATGATGGTCTAATTTTGCACCTTTGCTGAGTGTCAATGTTACCCGATGGATCTATGTAGAGTTATAAGAATCTTGGAATTGGATTGTGGAAGTTACCCCCGCCCCCAACTTCCCTTTCTTTTACATTTGTAAGTGTTTCTGCACATCGGAGCCTGTGAGGATGGCGGGTGTCTTTCTCTAGCGCTCTTCACCTTAGTCCCTGGGGACAGTCTCTCACTGAAGCCGAGCTCAGCTGGTGACCAGCAAGCCCTAGCCCTCTCCCCCAGCTAGAGTTAGAGGTGAACACCCGACCTTGGCTGGCTGCTGACATGGGTGCTAGGGATTTGAACTTAGGCTCTCATGCTTGCATAACAAGGGCTCTTACCCACTAAGTCATCTCCTCAGTCTCTTATTTTTCTTAAGAAATTATTTTGTCTTATCTGTATCACCTAGATCCTTTCCTTGTCTACATAAATTATATAATCCCTTGTTGATTATTTAGAAGTTTCTGCTGTAGTTTTATTGAGCTTCCTAGTTGAACGTGTGAAGAGCGAGCCTTTAACAACATGGAACCATCCAGCAAACGCTCAGGGCTGCCTCTGCCACAGTCCTCAGCAAGGTTCTGCAGAGGCTGCTGTTAAAGAGTCCGCACATTTAAAACTTTTTCCAACATAGTCTACATTTTGATGTTGTGGGAAACTATTTTTAAATCAATGTCTGATTTTTCTTCGATCACATATGGACAAGCAATTGGCCTTTGTTTCATTTTGCCCGTTTTTTAAACTCTGCCAAGCTCACTTAGCTCTCATGCCTTCCCCACTCGAGAATCCATAATTTTCTTCCTGTGAGATACAATTCATGAATCAAGTCAATGTGCTGTCTTCCCTGTCCATCTCTATGTCTTTTACTTACTTAGAACCTATTTCCAGGCTGTGCTTGAGAGGTGGTGTAGTTGCTGCTTTCGTTGTCTTGCAAAGCCATGGATGTGTGCTGAGACCCACACTGGTTCCTAGAGTATGAAAGACCCTGCCCAGAAACTCAAACCTGGGAGTCCCAGCCCTGTCCCCTGAGCCCAGCTCTCAATGACCTCTCAATGAATGCTGCTGCAAGGAGGGGGCTTGTCAGCTCCAGAGGAAACTCAAGTCAGTTGTAAAGGTCTGAGGAAGTATATGTGAAAAATGAAAAATGTTTCAAATTTCTTTCTGTCTTGCTGTACTACTTACTGTTATGTTTAGATTTCAAAAGTTCAGCGTTTTAACATATTAATCAGTGCAGTCCTGATAAGATATTAATCTGGTCCTGGTAAAACACTGGTTCTGGTATTATCATAGCCATAGTTATTAATCTTGAAATTCATGAAAAAAAAAACCGGTTCCACCAATTTGGCCAAATTTAAGCAAGCTTTTTTATTAAAATTTTAGATACTGTCCAAGATGGAATTTGGGTAGGACTTTCCAGGTAAGTGGCCTCAAGACAAATGTCGGCAGAGCTAATATGGGAAAAACCCATAGGCCACCATACTTTCCCATGAGGCTTTGTTGTTATTTTTCATAAATTACAACCCCCCAAATCCCAGGAATTTACCTGGTCCTCAGGCAGGTGTTATTGCTCAAAAACTACAATTCCCAGAATCCTAGGAACTTACCGGTCCTTGGGCAGGTGGGACTCAATAGGTTAACTTCAGGTCTAACAACAGGCTCAAGATTTTAAATTGCTTTTGGCCCTGCCATGGCCCAGGCAGAATAGCAGAATTACCCAGTCAGCCTATAGAACTGTGATGTTGAAGACTCTGGGATTTGGGATGGTTTGTTCTGCAGCAAAGCGAGAGAATGGTGCCCACATTTCCTACATGCAAACAAGGCCCAGGTAGTGAAGACATTGGATGAGAAGCCCACCAAACTAGAAGAGATATTTAGGGCTTCTTTTCATCTGAACCATTGTTTTACTTTTGAAAATTTAGTAGCTATCACACTTGGAACTTCCTATTATCCTAAAGTAACCTCGGAGGTTTTCTAAAACCCCAAGATGCCCCATGGTCTGAGCTGTAGCTAATAACTCAGCAATTAGCCTTGCTTCTAGAAGTTCCTTACGGGAAACAGAAACCAAAAGTCTTGAGGACCGGTTCAGTTTGAGCTGTCTTGCATCCTTATTGTCAAGCAGGTTTAGAGACTCGAAACTTGAACACTCTAAGATTGGGAGAATATGAAAAAAAAAAAAAAAACACCTCGCAACATGTGTAGGGTTAATGACTTAAAAAAAATACCCCTAACAATCGCTGTCTGTGTAAGTCAAGTAAGTGTTGACTGAGTCTATCAATTTGTAAGTCCAAACAACTTCCAGATGGTTCTAACAACAGTCAAAGTATCTTGGATTTGATTAGTGCCTTTCAGTTTACAAAGCAGTGACCATCTGTGTCCTCATTTCAAACCTCACAGTGCAGTCTGTCAAAGAGGCAGGCCAGAGGTCACCAGCTCCATTTCCTCGAAGAAGAGACTGAGCCCCGGGAAAGAGAAACAAAACCAATTAACAGGTAAGTAGGAAAACATAGAGTAAGCCAGATCTTCAGATCTCAGGTTCGATAACCAATTAATAAGTAACCAGATAAACCAAGAGGAAGCCAGACCTTCAGATTTCATGGGCAATGAGTTCTCTGCACCATTCCTTTTATTGTTGCTTATAGATTGAGGAGACCTTTTATCCCCTTCCGTTTTAGTAGCAGTGAAAGGAGCAACAATTATGTGACAAGCACAGACGGCAGGGACAGAGGGGTGTGAGGGTGGCAGAGTGGCTGATGCAGGTTGGGTGTCCTTGTGGCAACAGTGATGGTGGCTTATAGCTGGGTCCTCTGTGTTCAGCCTTACCCTGAAGTCTTACATAGTCTACTAATACTCAAAGCGATCCTGTCAGGTCTGTGCAGCTGACACCCTCATTTCAGAGAGGTGATGAAGCACAAAGGCACATAAGCACAACTCGAAAGTGGTTGAGCTGGGGTAACAAGTCCCACAGGAGGCGAAGGGAACCAAGGGGAAAAAAAAAACCTCACTGAACACAATCTTCATGGACGGGGACATGGAGGATGTTGGGGTGTCAGAAGACACGAGCAATACAGTGGGTAGCTGGCACATGAGAGAATGACAAGGCCATGGGGCCATGGTTGATTCAATAGGGTGGAGGTTCATCTGGAAAGGACAGAGCACAGAAGCGCGGCCACACAGCCACACAACCACACAGCCACAGGGCAGGTGCGACGCAAAGACTTGCCAACAGTAACAGTGTGGGCGTTCCTCAGTCCTCCCCCACTCCAGCACAGCAGGATGCTCACCCCAAAGCAAGAGTCGCTGGCGTGTTCAAGTCTGGCTGTCTTTATTAGCGTGGCTGTGCGTTCGGCCCACTTGGTTCGCGCTGTTTGCACTTACAGTTTCGTACCAGTCCACACCTGATGGGCCACGGCTCAGTATCAGCCCTCATTATCGCTATTACTGGGAATCTTAATTGGCATAATTACCACCAGCACACATTTTGATTAATAGTTGTTAACAGCAATTTATGTTTCATTATTATGGCCGAGATTTAATTATTTAATGGGTATAACAATTAATAATAACTTACATTTATATGGGACTTGGTAATTTTGCAAAATGGTTTCAATCATAAACTGTCAGGCGATCCGCCCCGAAACTCCAGGTAGTAGCAGCTTGTGAGTTCTTAGCCCCTTTTGTAGGCCTGGAGGTTCAGATAGAGAGGTGTTGGGGTTCGTTTCATGTCCTGCCTCCCACTTTAGGTCACCTCTCCACCTGCAGTTATGGCTCATTTATCTTCCTCGTTAGGAGGAGCTCTCATGTGAAAAGCACAGACCAGGTTCTTGCTTGAGCGTCACTTCTCCTGGGTATGAAGGAGCCCAGAGACCCTGAGTTCTCAGACCCTAGCCCCGGGACCCTAGCCCCTCCGAACCATAGTTTTCTCTTCTGAAAAAGTAAACAATGTCATCTCCTTTGTACAGAGCAAGGAAACATAATCTGGTAAAAATAATGCTTGATCAATGATAACTGTCATTGCTAGGTTCCTTTTGGATCTTGACTACCACCAGCAATAAGGGGTGTCTCTTGTGTAACCAACTGCCCTTCATTTACAACTCACAGATACAGTGGGAAGGTCTCAAGCATAAAGTTGAGGCTGCCTTCCTGGGCTAAGAGCAGCTTTGATCAGTGGTTCTCAACCTGTGCGTTGCAACCCCACAGGGTCACGTAACAGATTTTACAATATGATTCCCATCAGTAGCAAAATTACAGTTATGAAGTAGCAATGTAATACTTTCATGGTTTGAGGTCACCACAATATGAGGAACTGTATTAAAGGGTCGCAGCGTTAAGAAGGTTGAGACTCACTGGCCTAAGAGCCTAGCCCCGGTGACCTCAAATCTGTGTGTCTGCTGTGAGACTGTTTGATAGGCTATAGGTCTCAGTCATAGGCATCACTGTGTTGAGAAGAAGAGCAAAGGCCACAAGAATTGTCATGATTGAGTAGGCTTTGGTAGGTAAGAAGGGATAATGTCATCATGTAGTGACAAGTATGTATGTGGTCCAGGTGTCTTGCACATATTACGATATTTAAATAACATACTATTTAACGGAAAGAAGTCATGTGGAAGAAACTACTGTTTACCACATTTTGCAGAAGGAGAGGCTGGTTTAAGGCTAAGTGATTGTCTCAACATTACATCAAAGCTCTAAGTGGCCCAGCTGTTGATACGTGCTCTTCTGAACACAGCAGCTGCTAACACTTCACGCCTTTCCTCTCTGCAAGGGTCCTGGGCTGCCTCTGTTACAGGAGGTGGAACCCTGGGGGACCCAGAGTAGAGTGCTGACCAGTGACCTCTTATCTCTTGGCTCCAGCCTGTCCCGTGTAACTTGGTTCCAGCCACTTCTCCTGGGCACTTTTCCCCTTGGTGAGTTTTTCCAGATGCCTGTGTGAAGGGGGCTTAGTGTTGATACTGGTTTAAAACAGCTTAGTCTTGTCCCGTACCCGACAGACACTTCTACGCTTTTGAAGCCGTGTTGTAGACGCTGGTGACAGACGTTTGACCTGTTGTTTTTCCTTTTATCTTTGCTAAAATAGATGCGCCTGGTAACCCCAATGATAACCCAGTGTTTCCAGCTGATGGCTTGGGACTGGTCACGTGAGACCTGTTACCCTGGGCTTCCCTCAGTGACAAAAGTATCACGGCTGATCATTACAGTGGCTATTTGCTGAGGATTCATCTTCAATGCTAAACAAAGATACAGCTTATCCCTAATCCTCACAACGTGCAAGGTATTGTTAGTATCATAATTTAATACTTGAAATATTTGAAAGTATCTAGAGGGGGTAAGGAACTTCTTAACATCAACCAGCATAAGACAATATTAATTTTAAGCCCTTGGCTTCCTTTTTATGTCATTTTTTTTCTGTGTTTTCCTGGAACTTTTCTCCAAATAGAACTCAAAGGATCCAACCCTGCCCTTGTCCTCCTTGTCCCTAACACGTTCCCTCATCTTATACTTCCTTCCTGCTTCTGATCTCACTCCTATGCAGATGGCTTTTAAAAGGACAGTCCCCAGACTGGCACTTCTTTTTTGATGCTTGGACATGTCAACAAATCTTAACCCTTGTCTTTAGTTTGCTCATTCATCTTCCGGTAATAACACCCCACTCTTTGGAAAGCAGTTTCCTTCACTGCATCACCCCGACATTCCCTGCCCCTCATTGGATACCCAGTTACAAGCCCCAGGGCTCTCTTGGGCAGGTTCTTTCCCTCACTGACACAGGGACTCAGGTGGCAGATCTGGCCTCTCCTGACTATGAGTCCTGTTCGCTCTCGGTGTCTGGCGTCAGGCTGGCTGTAACAGCTTTCTTCAGATCTCCCTGCTATCCTATCCTCATCCTTTTCTTTCTGGTATCTGGGTGTAGCTACAATTCCTTCCCCCAGCCAGGGAGACATAAGACAGGGTCTACCCCTCCTACTAAGACCTCTATGACAAACTGAGGCACAATTCTGCTGAAGTTTTTCTCTGGGGGGAACCAGTGAGTTTACTGTACTCCTTCCAGACCATAGGTAAGGGGTTATTTACGGGGTGTCTGTGCTCTTCCCCAAACAGGCACCATTTGCAAAACCTTTACCCAGACAGGTTGAGGGCTTCCCCATAGCCCCTATAGATGGAGCACTCTACCCTAGTGTCCCCAGGTCTAAATACTTAGTCCCTCCCTGAGGCCTTGGCTTGCAATTAAGGGAAAGGTGCATACAACAGGTGAGAGGAAGTGGCTGGATAATCAGGCAGGGTCTTGTCATTCTCCCTGTACCTTGATGAGGGTGAATGAACAGTCAGTAATCCCAGTTGGGATGACGCAGGTATCTATCTATCTATCTATCTATCTATCTGCAGTGGGGGCACATCTGGACCCCACAAGACTGCAGTTGCTTAGCTTGGAGGGTCATCATACAGAACACTGGGCTGCAATCACCCTTCAAAAGCACCTTTACTCAGCAACCACAAGCTGGCCCAACTCACTGCCCTGGACTGTCCTGGCCTCGTCTGATTTCCCACACCACCCCCTGCAGGTACCTGCTTGAGTCGGAAACTCAGTGGTTTGCCATTCCAGAGTTTGTTCTCACTTCTGTTCTCCGAGCACGCGTGGATGGGAGAGTACAAGGCTTTGCTAACATGAAAGATTGAGGAGCAGTCAGCATTTGAGCCGATCTTTGGGGATAGGCAGTATTATAATTCTGCTGGCCCGCCCTGTCACACTCATTACCAAACACATAGACAAGGGAGAAATTACCTTTTCCATTTGACACAGAATTAAGCAGAGGCACAGAGAGATTTGAGGCCATACATCGGAACAGTGACAGAAGCCCCTTGCACATCTGGGTTACATGTGACATGATTTGGGTGTTTGTAGAAGCCAGTCCTAAGTGGGAAAGAGTAGGTAGTGAGTGCACCAGATAAAGTTCGTGACTGGGAAATCTGGGTCCAGGATTGTGCTACTCATGAGCGGTGTAACCTTGGAGAAACTGGTTGGCTTTCCAGGCTCTCATTTTCCCATTTCTATTCTGCGTGTGTGCCAGTGACATAAGGTAATGGAGCACTGTCCCCACACAGAGCCTGCTGCAGCTTCCTCTCAGTGGCAATCACTGATGTTAGCAGATACCGGATATCTGATTCCCAGGGTTTTGGAAAATGATCCGTTACCATGCAGAGATGGAAGAAAAACCCAAGTAGAGATGTGCATGCCCCTGCTTATAGCCAATAGATGACGTGGATGCTTTGGCGAAGTGGGGGCTGTGAGATGTGAGGCCCCAGAAGCACAGGTAACAAAGCCCCGCTGGGAGATTCCTTCTGAGGAAGGAAGAACCAAGGGCATGGGCTGAGGATCAGATAAAATTTATAGATTGAAGGTCTTAGTCGTTCTGATGCTAAAGGAAGCCCAGGAGGGTGCCTGCTTCTTGTGCCTTGTAACCTTTCTCCAGCTACACTGGTCAATTCTGACTGACACATTTGAAGGCTACCTCTTGTCATTTCCACCCGAGAGAGCAAGTGCAACTGACGCGTGACTGTCTGTCAACACGAATTCTGAGGCAAGTTCTCACTATGCAGTCTTCTCTGGTCTGAAACTCATTATATACCAACCTAGGCTGGTGCTCAGAGATCCTCCTGTCTCTGCCTTCCGAGTCCTGGGATCATAGGCATGAGGCCACCATCCCTGGCTGTTGTCTGCCGGTCTTGATAGCCACCTTAGTAATAGTCTGGCGGGACAAGAAAGTCCTTGGATTTGGGGGGCACACAATCATTTCAGAAGTCAGGAATAACAGAATAAATGCTTACCCACTGCTTCCTTGTCAAAGAATCCAGTTTTCTTCTCTGTAGAATGGAGTTTGGCTGGAGGTTTCTGGTTTCTCCATTAGACCACATCTCCAACTCTGACATCCCCATGTTTGGAGTTGGCACCAGAATATTGTCTGCAGTAATATTACGATTTATCATGGATTCTGCCCCCTCCCTCATCCACTCCTCACTTCCATCCTTGATTTCCACTTCAGTCTCTACAACACATGGGTGCTTGCCGACCCGCTGAGGAGTCGCGTCAGGTTCTCTCTTCTCTCTGGATCTCCTCATGTTCCGTTTCTCCTGCGCACACTTTCATGGCACCTTTCACCTGTAGCATCTTTCTGACTCATGCAGGACTCAGTCTAAGCATCACATCTTCCAGGAAGTGGCTCCCACCCCCCTGCTCCTTTGTCAGTTGGAACTTGTCCTTAGGGCCTCAGGCGGTGTCTCACTGGAGCGCGTGGTGAGACTGTGCTCTGGTGTTAGATCTATTTCCCGGCTTATCCACCCCACCACCACGTATGACCTAGTCTTTTTTATTTGGCTTGTTCTAGTTTCCACTTCTCCTGGGACCCCTTCTCTAACTCCCATGACCACATCATCCCCACTGTACCCACTTCATCCATGAATACCTACTAACGTATCCCTCAGAGACTCTCCTTCTCCTCCTCTTAAGCATCAATATCAGCCAGGCGGTGGTGGCGCATGCCTTTAATCCCAGGACTCGGGAGGCAGAGGCAGGCGGATCTCTGTGAGTTCGAGGCCAGCCTGGTCTACAAGAGATAATTCCAGGATAGGTTCCAAAGCTACAGAGAAACCCTGTCTTGAAAAACAAAAACAAACAAACAACAACAACAAAAAATCAATTGCTGATATATAGTTATCAGTTGAACATAACCATGGATTGACTTATAGAACAAAGAGTCTCTCTGCTCCTGAATACACACAGCTACAATATGGAAGAAACTTTTTTACCAACCTTCCTGCTCCATGAGCTGTAGTAGTAGTTTCTTGTTAGGCCAGCAGCCTACAAAAAACAACATAGAGGCTTCTTATTAATTATGAAAGCTCAGTCTTAGCTTAGGCTTGTCCCACTAGCTCTTATCCTTGGCTCTTATCCCATGAGCTCAAATCCTTGGCTCAGGAGTCAGACTGGCCTGGCTTTGAATACTGACCTGAGCATCTAGTAGCTGAGTGGAAAAGTCATCTCCCTAAGCATGTTTCTTCATCTACCCACAAGTGACTGGTACCCGCACCCATCTAAGATGCTGGGGGTGAAGATGCAGTGGCTAAAACAGGAAGGTATTTAGTATGGCACATTTTTTTAAAGAAACAGCAATTTATCTCACTCCCGATTCTTGGCTTAGACTTCATCTCATCCTTTGGACTTTGACTCTCTCTCTCTCTCTCTCTCTCTCTCTCTCTCTCTCCTCCAATTCTTCCTATCCAGTCATCCCTGCAACACTTGTCTTTGTTCTTGTGCAAGCATCACAGTCTCATAGTGCAAACCTTGTCCACTAGGAGCATAGGTTACACTTTGTTACCAAACACCCATGTCTATGGCTTTGACCCATCTTCCCTCCAGTCTCCCCCTCACAGCCCACTTCCCAGGTGGTAAAAAGAGCTAACTGGGTTATTCTGTAACTTCAGGTCATAAAAACTTTTGAGCCAAACTACAGGAAGGATGCCAACAACTCCTCTCTTTCCAACTCTCTCTCTCTCTCTCTCTCTCTCTCTCTCTCTCTCTCTCTCTCTCTTTCACACACACACACACACACAGAGACATATGCACACAATATCTTTCCTTTTGGAATATTTATTATTTACACACCATTGAGTCTCCATCAGCCATTTTTCAAGAGCAGCACAAAGTGAATTCTCTACCGAGAACAAACGAGCAATTGAAAGGGATTTCACGCCTGAATGCACTCATTCTGCTAAAGCCTGGCCATCATGGCTGCTACCTTTCTGTTCATTATCAAGGGAGCTGGAGTTTGTCACTTGCACCAGATCGTGGCCCCTCCTAGAGACCCTCAGGAGAAGGCCTCCTCGGTTGCCGTAGTAACGTCTTCCTTCCTGGATGCAGACCCACGACGGCACAGGCTGCTGCGACCCAAGAGGGGCCTTGTTTAAACAGGAAAGAGCAGACAGTTTAATGAGTAGCTTTGCAGTTCAGATTCCTACACAGTTTCCAGTAGTTGAAGTAATAAACTCCATAATGAATGTTTCTTTATTTTAGTTTTTATGTTTGTTTTCTTCTCTTTCTTCTCCTTTTGTTTCTCCCGATCAATCTCCAACTGATGGTAGGCATTTCTGATTAGTAGGGAAATACCATTGAGGGAAAAAGGGCACCACATGTATGTACCCGTGTCCCATTTATTCTTCCTGATATTTCCATGACATACATAATTATGACACTGGGGAAATTGAGAGTCAAAGAGCTTCAGT